CGGGTGATCAGTTTGAATAGTATTTCCTCAGTTTAAATTCGGACTTGAAGCGAAGCGCATGGAGTATGAAGCATCCGCACGCATGAGTGAATATCCGTAACGGTATCTCAGTTTGTTTGTGTATATGCATTTCTGTTGGTTCACCCCGAGATCATCTGCGTGCAGGTGCGCAACGTATCGAACGCACTTAGTGTGAGCAAAGCAGTGGTCGGATGCACGAATGGCTGAATGAAAATGGAATGCATTTTCTGGACTCCGCTTGAAAACCATATTTATTGTCCACCAGTTGGGTGACTCAGCAACGTTTAGGCTCTCATTCACGTTTTACACGTTTTACATAACTCTGTGGATAGTCAGTCACATGTTGCATAGCCTCTCGCATTCAATGTATATGTCTGTGCATAGGTGTATCTGTGTGCGTGCGTGCACATGCGATCATAGATGCACGCACACACGCAAGCGCGTAGGCTGTCGTCGCATTGCGTGGAAGTGAACTGCTCAAGGTGTATTCTGCTTGCCCGGGTCAAGAACAGGAACAACAAATCAATAATTCTACATAACACTTACAATGAAGCCAAGGTAAGCACTAATGTACGCGAGCATTTGCTCTCTGTCTATCTAGCCGGTCGAATTAAAAGCAATGGGAAGTGTGTTACGTCACGTAGCTGCTGAAGTGGAGTTGACACAACCCGTATACCCGTAACCGCGGTCTGTTCTTCGGCCGTTGGAAGCGGATGCGGAATGGGGTGGGGTGGGATGGGGTGAAGGTGTCCGAGTATCGAATAGTCTGACACCATCCATCTCTGTTGATGGTCACGCTGAAGCAGTCATGGGATGACAGGAGGAGTGGGACGTATCGAACGGGGCGTGACCGCCGAACGAGGACAAGTACTGCGTGATACGAACACAGCATAAGATCACTGTTGATTCGACAGATGGGTTGTCAACCCAGATGTGGTATGAATGAACGCGGTAGGAACGGAATGCATTCCGAAGGACTGATCACCTGTCAGTCCACGATCAGAACATGTTCGATAGATAAAAAACAGAGAGATGTACATCGACCAATACTGTTCACTTGTTCTGTACGTGACCCGTATGATCGTGTTTCAGCCGGTCAACCTTCTGGTGTAGTTCTTTTAGGTAAACAATCCTTGTCGCAGACAATCGAAACCACGCCTCAATCGTTTCTGTTCCGGTGACATAGATACGCTCATTAGTGATCTCTCTCTCGCGCGTACGCGCGCACGGTGCATTCCGATTGGTCGATTGAAACTGAACCGACAAAAGCCCCTGAAGTAATTTGGTTTCTAGATAGTGAATGTTTGCATTAGCCCATTCGGTTTTTCACAGGCATCAGGCACTGTTGATGACGTTTGGTGTGGGTTTCACTCCTTGGGAGATCTTTAATTCCCCATTGTTTATATGCGTTTAAATGCGATGGAAGTGTTTGTGAACTATGCACACAGACAGATATAAACGAATCAGAGATTGGGCCAACTCTGAGACAGTCTACTCACCGCGGGTAGACGGGTAGACAAAACGGTTTCCAACTTA